GAGAAAATCACAAAAGTTTGATATGGTTTTTTCCGGAATACTGACAACTTACTTACATACTTACTTACTTACGCCTGTTACTCCTCGTGAAGGAGCATAGGCCGCTCACCATCATTTTCCATCTAACTCTTTCCTGGGCAATCCTTTCCAGCTCCTTCCAGTTGTTACTCATCCTTTTCATATCTGCTTCTATTATCCGACGTAATATGTTCTTAGGCCTTCCTCTTTTCCGTTTCCCTTCAGGATTCCAAGTTAGGGCTTGTCTCGTGATGCAGTTTGACGATTTGCGTAATGTATGTTCTATCCATTTCCGTCGTCTTTTACTAATTTCTTCTTCAGCTAGAAGCTGATTTGTTATCTCCCACAGAAGGCTTTTGCTGATGGTATCCGGCCAATGGATGTTGAGTATCTTGCGAAGACAGCTATTTATAAATACTTGCACCTGCTTGATGGTGGTTGTTGTAGTTCTCCAAGTTGGAGCGTGCTGCGATAACACGAGCACTGACAGTGGCGAATGTGTCAGTAAAGTACCTGCTGTTACGAGACGCCTCAAACACCTGACTTTGACTGACGGAAAAGTGAAATCTCCGTTAACATTAACGAGGGGGTAGTACCACCTGACACTGACATTGGTGACCATGCACCTCTAGTGGAAACTGACGATCTGGATAAAACCGTCACCGTTCCAAATAGTCCCAGTGTCCTCAGAGATGAAAACTGGTCTATAGTACGGAGAAAACGAAACGAAAGGAAAAAAGCTCTGGGCAGTACGCAGGTGGTTAGAAGGTCATTGGTGGACTCCCATTGTCAGTCACAAAATGCCCTACCGAAATCTGATAGTAAGAGAGAAACTCACCCTGGCGTGACTGAGAAGAATCTAATATCATCGAATATTATTGTGAGCAAATCGCTGGAGTCAAACAACCCAAAATTACACACGCACATGATTTAGAGAAGCTGGGAGAATGTATTCGTAGTATCTTACTAGATAACTCTAAAGGAGTTCAGATCAAAAAACTGGTTAGAATAGAAAAGAGGATCGAGGACAATGCTGAACCCTGAACATGCAAACTCTTTAAGGTAATTCTAGGATCGGAATAGCAAAGGGATCTCCTGTTAAGTGGCGCTCGTAGTCACTACACTTCCGACATTCGAATAAGACCTGATATATCTATTGAATATAGAACAAAAAGGAAGAAGGCACTAGCTGAACTAGAAACCCGTTGGCAAAACGGTGAGAAAAATCCTTGGTTAGTGGATTTTCGGATAGTTTGATCTTGGAAGCGAATGCTACCAAGGCCTGTGTGGATAGGCCGTTCTACCTAGGAGTTTTATATGCCAACGCTCGTAGTCTAAGAAATAAGTTCTATGAACTAGAAGTATTATTGGACAGATTAAGACCACTCATTATAGCGGTGACAGAATCTTGGACAGTCCATGACTTAGACATCACTCCATAATTATCCGGATACTATTACCCAAGCATTGACAGACATAAATGTAGAAAAGAAGGTTGTGTCCTGTTATATATAACCAATAATATAAATATCCACTCATCTGCTAGCGAATCCTATGATAGTGGTCCTTGTGAAGTCATTAGCTGTAAAGTGGCTATTGGATGTAGTACATTTATGCTCAGTGTCATCTATCGCAGCCCGATCTGCTTAGCTGGTGACTTTATTTTAGAGCACATTCGTCTTTGGAGTGCAAATACCCGATGTTGGATAATAGGAGACTTTAATGCACCTGATATTAGTTGGACTGAGATGGCTACAGAAGGATCTATAAACTCCTTTGATAGTAGGATCCTGGTAACAATAATGGAGCATGCACTAGTGCAGCATGTATCCAAACCCACACGTCTTGGCGCTAACCAAGGTTCTTCTCTGTTGGACCTGGTAATCACTCATTATACTGAGGATATTGTCGACCTAAATATTCTTCCGCCATTAGTGAACAGCGATCACGCTGTTTTGTCATTCATGTTTAGAACTAGAGACATGTTATACCACCAGGTTAAAGCCGCCCAAATGTATGGAAAGCTAACATATCAGTTATTCAGGAATGCGCTGCTTAGACAGATTGGTTTGTAGATACCAGTTTATCAGTCGAAGAAGCATGGTCTGTATTTAAGGTAAGTTCAGTCTAGTTACGTTTCCGGTCATACCATACATGGTACCGCGAAGATGGAATAACAGTTCACCATGGATAACTAAAACAGTAAGGAAGAATCACTGGAATATGTTCATCTCTACTGGCTTAGAACAATACAGATCCAGTTATTGTAAGATGAGGAATGCCTGTAAAGCGTTAATAAGCAAGATTAGATTAACATACGAAAAACAATTGATTAGGCATTATAGATATAGTTCGAAACGGTTATTCTCGTATATGAAAAGGCGAACTAAGAGAAGCGATGGAATTCCATCACTTTTGATACGAGATAATCCGTTAATCTTAGCAGAGAATGATGCTGAAAAAGCTGAAGCTTTATCGGAATATTTCAGTAAAGTTTTTTCTATCAGTAATGAAGAACGACCAATGTGATTGTGGCGTCTCGCTGATGGACCCTGTAGTCATTGAGAAAGGTACTGTCTTAAGGCTACTTCAGTATCTCAAACCTGATAAGCCAGGTGGTCCTGATGATAATCATATGTTTATGAAAGCCATATCAGATGCAATTGCCAAACCATTAGCGATACTGTTTGACATGTCTCTGAGGAAATCCAGACTGCCCAGAAGCTGGAAAGACGCTATAATAGATTTAATGTATAAGGCTGGGAGAAGGGGTTCGTTTAGCAACTATAGACCCGTTAGCCTAACTAGTGTAGTTGTAAAACTGATGGAAAAAATCATTCAGATATCTGTTATAAACTATGTTTAAAGGCATAGTCTTTTCTCCAGGGAATAACATGGTTTTCGGAAAGGCCTATCATGCTTGACAAATCTTATTGCAGGAGAAGATTGGTCTGCTGCAAAAGATCGGAATATTCCTGTGGATGTGATCTTCATAGATCTAAGTAAGGCTTTCGATAAAGTCTTCCACTCTGGTCTTAAATTCAAACTGGAACGTTTTGGAATCCATTATACAGTCGTAGATTGGATAAGTAACTTTCTGCATGACGAGAGACAAAGGCTAGGGGTAAATAGAACTCTCTCCTCCTGGGTACCAGCAAAAAGTGGAGTTCCTCAAGATACAATCCTTGATTCTCTTCCCTTTTTAATTTATGTAAATGAATTACCAACTGTAGTAAAATCATCCGTTCTACTCTTTGCTGATGACATAAAGATTTGGAGACCCATACACAGTATGTTGGATAGGATAGTATTAGAGAATGATCTTAGCTCATTGATGGCATGGTTGGACAGCGGGTCATTAGAAGTAAATCCTAATAAGAGTGTGGTGATGTAATTAAATAGCTATGATGGATGGTATCACTATGTGGATCACTATATGGATTCGTGCTACTCAAAGTAAGAAACTATAAAGATTTAGGAGTCATATTAAGCAATTATCTCAAAACCACTATTATTATTATTATTATTATTCACAAACATCTTATGGGTACATAAGTGTTGTGAAGAAACCATTTCGGGTTTCTTCAGAAAATGCAATAATACACAATTTTCAATAATTTTAGCATTATACTTGCCATATTTAAAAAATAAAAAATAAATTAGAATAATAATAGTAGAATATTAATAATAATAAATCGGGTCTGTGTAATTGAGAAGAATATTGAATTGAGTTTAAAGAAGGAAATGGAGAAAATAAGGGAATAGAAATAAAGGAGACGTGAAATAAGCAAACAGTCTAATAGGCGTGTTTATGAACACAGAACAAGAATAAACGACTATGTGTGTATCGTTAAATTAGTAACAAAAAATAATTGAGATAAAATAATTTATCATTGTAGTAAGATATGACACTAGAATAAATGTTTGTGCAGTTATAGTTTAGAGTGATGCTATGAAAGTCACAATTAAGTGAAAAGGATAATAAAATATCACTCTGTATGAGTCATATATGCATAGTGAAGATAAAACTAATCTGAGAAGTTAATTAAAGTGTAACACAAGTTATTGTCTTAATTAGAAACTTCATAATCTTAAGAATAAGATTTATTTAGAAGGGAAGAAGAGAGAGAAAAGAAGTGAACACCTAGTGAAAAGGTTCATCCATGATAAGAATAATAATTGTGTAATGGATATCAACCTCAGAAGGAAACCAGCAATTGAAAAAATAAATAAATAAATGAATAAAAATCCTTTAAAGCACTCGGATGAATACATTTAGATTTATGTAATAGTAAGGCTGCTGCTGTGAAAGGCTATAGGGTATTATGGCCTATTTGTAGGTCTTTCCAGTACTTAAACGATGAAATGTCTAGATTATTATACCCTATTTATGTGCGACCACATTTAGAATATGGGATTCAAGCAGCAAGTCCTTGTTTCAAGTATGTAGAGATGCTGGAAAGAGTTCAACGACGAGTTACTAAGATGATACAAGGTCTATCTAGCCTATCTTATGAAGACAGACTGGGACACCTTAACTTAGTTCCGTTATCTTACCGTAGAGTAGGGGTGATCTAATATTGGCTTATCGTATACTGAACGATGACCTTGGTATTGACATGTCTTATCTTTTACTTCCGTCCAGGACTGATCACTTGAGAGGACATTCGAAAAAATTTCGAAAGCCGAGATCAAATCGTTTGCGTCTGGAGTCCGGTTTCTCGCACCGAGCAGTGAATTACTGGAATTCTCTACCGGAACACATAATATCAGCACTTTCTGCTGATATATTCAAAACGAGATTGGACCTCCACAGTATTACAAACTTCAAGGATTAATATAGGTCGATGGACCTCCGATCCTTATTACTTAAGACTGAAGACATGTGAGTTTAACTCATTGTGCTGGCACTAGTGTGAGTTGTTTAAATGGCTGTCATTTAAGATGTATTGAGTGAAGCGGTACGTTTGTCCATGGTTGTTGTAATTTATTGTTCTATTCTAATTGAGCCATCGACTCACGCTTTCTCGTATCTTTCCTATCCCAGATTCTTATATGGTGCTGTCCATAATATTCCAACACACAACATACTTTCAAGCTGAACGTAAACTTATCGAAGGCTCAAGGTTTGTTTGGTGATGATGTCACTGATTAATGTACAATTTGACCTACTTTATCACTACGGTTTGTTGCTTTCATAATTGTTGTCGCTTGGTTGTAACGGATGGGATATAGCTCTCAATCATTCAGTGTCATGTAATCCGTTCAGTAGTTTGTGTCAACCAGTAGTAGTAATAGCTATTACTAGTATTCACTTAACTGGACTAAACAGTGTCAACTGTAAAGCGACAGTAAATGATAAAGCCGAAAGGAAAAAGAGATAAATAATTGTAAACGAGTGTATGAATTGTTCTTTGCACCGTCTCGACTTTCGGGTTTGTTTTCCTCACGCCCATTGACTCATTGTTTTGAACAACTATCGTCATAAGGCCTAGCTTCCGTAAAAGACTTCGCTTTTCTCTGTTGTACTGTTAGCTAATTGAAAAGCGTTTAATTGCTCGTCAGAGTTCACTGGTTAAGGTACACCATACTAATGGACTTAAAAGATTCATCAGCCGCTGTGGAAACTCTGCCTGGTCACAAAACAATTAATAACAAAAAGCGATAAAATTGCCATAGATCGGTGCTTTCGTTATAATAACCGCCTCGTTAGATCTTAAGTTCATTACTGCAATGGATGTGGGTTAAGTTTACACAGTGGGACCTTGGCTAGTGTTAGCTACAAACTCAAACTTGTAGCCAAGTGACACCATCTATAGTGCATAGAAGTTAGGGTTAAGTAGTTGGAGTTAGACTAGATATTTGTCCGGATTACAAAGTGGCCTACCTAATCAACCATTTTTGCATCGTTTTTTTATTTCAGCAATTTGTATTTTCTTGAAACATCTCCGGTACTTAATCTCTATTCTTACGAATACTTATACTACATCTACTAATCTGGGGTTTGCCCTGACAGTCGTCGCGCTTGGTAAATGGGGTATGACAACTTTGACTTGTGCATGTGTGCCATGTTCTACATTGTGTGTGACTAACTGACTGAAGCTTAGTACATTTGCGTAAATCACACGAGCTTCAATCATATGGTGACATTCACGGTAGTTAGAATTTGGTTACAGAAATTGATCACAATACTGTGGTTCTTAGCACACGAACTTCCTTACGTATCGTGTTTGTAGTTAACTTCGTTATGCCACATGCAGTTGTATTGCTGTAAGTTCCCTAAAGTCGTGTGTTATATAACCTAAGCAAATTATTATTTATCCAAAAAATCATCTTAGTACTACTTAATTTCAATCACTTGCAGATGTCATCGGATGAAATGTTCTCGTTTCCAGTTACTGTAACGTTCGCCATTTGTATATCTATGGTTTAGATACTTGATGGTCCCGATGGTGAGGAAAATTTCGAGATGGCGCGTGCTCGTATTTGGCAGCTAAGTTGCAAGTCTGGTTGGAATTTCGATCGACTTGTTGCTGATTTAACTCTATCTAGTCAGTGTGAGCTAACTTTTGAGATGATTCATATGCTGTCGTATGTTAAAAAAGGTTAGATTATTCTGATTTTTCCATTCCTTCAATCAGTTGCTCCGCCTGGAACGCTGAGTGTTTTTCCGTCACCACTTCAAAGTGCCGAGTCATGGATCAGGGACAGGTGGATTTTTCGAGAGGTATATTTGATAGCTAACTCAATTGTTCTCAGAACAACTCAGCTAAATCCATGGAACATACTTTACCACTTAAAAAGGGATTAAGGTTAGCACATGGTTGTTTGTCATATTTTGCTTCATTCTTTAGAGATTTGGACCACGTAGTTATATTTTACTGTAGCAAATATCGTAGCACATTTTGAGGGCAACTATGTATGAAAGTAGTTGCACATTCACGAAAAAACATTTGAAATTTCAACGAAAGAGGAAGTTGTGCCAAAAATTTTATGTAGGTTGTCTGGTCCGAACCACTTATGTCACAAGACATTTCCGCATTTTGAGCACTATTTTTTCTCGCTGAAGAGTTTCAAATGGAAAATTTTATTTACCAGTGCCACTTCAGTTCATATTATATGCTTTTAAAGCTTGTGACTATTTTGCATGAAATCTGATCCATACACTTTTAAGTAGGTTATGTTGGGTATCAGTTCATGATTTCGAGGTTCACCACAATTTAGGCTTGATATTTTCACGAAGCGAATTGTGGGTTCAAAACCGCGTTGTAAGCCTGACCTTTTAGAGCTAGATTAAAATCACGATGAGGGCAAAGATGGGTAAGATTGAAATAAGCCGCTCTGGTTCATTATGGGTGAACTGATCTCATCGGTCACTCCACCATTAGCACTTACGCACTTACCCAAATGTATGAACATCTTGACTACTATCTGCTCACTACCAAAAGTGTCCAGTTGTACCACATTTTTTGTTTAGTACGTAGAAAATAAATGAGCTAATGTGAGCTACAAGAACCATTTTATTATTTAGTATATTTCTTGTTTAAATTAGACGTTTTCATCACCTATCACATGTTGTACTTGTTTGTTGTTCAGAACCGCTGATCCTGTATCTCCCTCAAACCGCGCCTTTAATGATGAAGAACTAAAGAATAGGAAAGTAATGAAAGTTGACCAGGATTCGGCTACGACAGTGTCGGTACCTACCGTACACAGAGCCAATCGTTCACTCCCTGGATTTCAAACTATTTTACAATGTGGGAAGACACTTGACGATGATACTTTATTGGAAAAAACTGTAAGTAATTCTCGATTTCCATGCCTAATTATGAGTATGTTACATGCTTCTGCCAATTGTAAGTGGTTCACTGAAAAGCATCGATTATATAGCGTTTCATTGTGTTCGTAATTGTGCATGTAGCAACTAGTCAAATACATTTGTAAAGGAAATAATGTAAGGATTAATGTTTGCGTCCGTTTATTTAATTACGCCGCGACTTTTGTAAGAGAATGAGGTGGATTAGTCGACACTGACCATGGAAGACAAAAAAGTCTGACTGATATTGCCGGGGCACTAAATCAACTGAATTGTTCGTCAAAGCATTCTGTCCGTCATCCCATCGGCCACCCAAACTACTCTCCTTTGTGCTCAGACGTCCGACTTACGCATTCAAGTCTCCGGCTAGCACTACAATATCTGTTGAAGACACTTTTTAGATTACTTAACTGGTAGCAGAACTCATCCCTAATTGCATCTGGCCTACTGTTTGTCCGACCGAATTTCTACCACAGGCGACCTGCCATATGAATTGGCAAATAAAGGAATATACAAAATGGCGATATAAGGAAATATACAAGGGATACAATGTAAAATATGAAGGAATTTTACCAAATAGTTGTAAGTACAATTTGTGAGGGTGCAAATTGAAGGGAGATTGATTTTTTTAGTTCTGATCATCGTTTAATTTGTGTGTGGTCTGAAGTACTGCCTGAGTGCCTAAACCGAGTCAAGTGATTTTATTAGGACGATACTACCTAACCTTCAACTTGTAGGTCTGATCTACGTGGCAGTGAGGTGACGTTAGGAGATGGCGTCCCATGGTAGCCGATGACCAAGAATTTGTTCAGAATCCGTTTCTTCCTCATTTCACGAAGTTTGTTTAAAAATCCATGTAACGTATGTCATAAAAACTTGAATCCAACCATTTGTTGCGACCTTATACATTTGATAATGTATGTTGACCATACTCGTCTATCATTCAATACAAACACGTTAAACATTGAACAGTGCAATTCCAGGTTCTACGTTGCGTAGTTGAAATTTTTGATTACGTCAAGTTGACACTGGTTTACTCAAATTACACTGAAACTAAAGTGTTCTAACGTTACAGAAACCTCATTCATTAAATGCGCGCTCACCTTACATGACTCAAAATGCAAGTCATTATTTTGGCTTATTGTCTAGGTCTTTTCTCCTTCATCCGTCTTTTAACAAGTCGACTATTTACGGCTCATGACCAAAAGACATTTGATAACAAATTTCCTGGTACGGCCGAGAGTGGGGATAGATCGCTCTCCCTCTCGAAATGCTCTCATATGGCCACGCGTATATAGCCTCTGCCAGAGAAGTCCTACTCACTGCCTTCTCGCACCACGGGTGTTGTTTATGAAAAGAGGACAAAAAGCGAATGTCCGGCGCTTTAACCGGGTTGGTGGACATGAAGAGTCCACCTAGGGGACTTGGAAAACCCTGTTCGGATTCTCTATGGCTTGTACATATGTGAAATAACAAAAAATAACTGTTTGTTTTAATTTTTTCCGTGTTAATTTTGTTTATCGAATAGATATCGGTTGTTCCGCATCTTATTTTAGAACACAGAAACGTCTTATGAGTATCCTAGCTTATCGCTAATTCATACGTCGAATTCACAGCAAGAAACCTTGCATTATCCGTCTGACTCACCTCCGTATATGCTTGTCCAGAGATCAAGAGAATCACTGGAGAAGGATTATAAGTCGTCTTCAAAACAGATTTCTACTAGAGGTCCTCTTAAAAGTGATAGTGGCTCCAAACGAAATAATAGTGGACATTTTCTTATGGATAGTGAAAAAAACCGAAACCTGGTAACAACGTTTATTATGTCAGAAACTTTATGGTGTATACACTTTTTATATGCTTTATGTTTTAACATTTTGATATATGGTTGTAAAAGAGGTGACAATCTACAAATAATCACATTGGTTTATGTTGGCGTATTTGGATTAATTTTATTGGACAAGCTCCTCGACTCTCCATGAGGTATAAATTTTGTAGTGGCTCCGTACACGCGTACGTGAATTTCTTATTAGTATGGATAATAGTAATCAGACAGAATGTTTCAAATTAATTATTTTAATCCTACTTATAATTCTATACTTAGTCGCAGAATTAATTGTGACCTGACTGTTTATGTTTATAAACCCTTCCACGGTGTGGGCAGCCGGGAAGTGAGAACTGCCCTCATACTTCTAATAGCACTCAAGACCACTGTATTCATAATCAACCTCCCTCTTCAATTCCTATTATTCCTCCTACATCGACATTCAATGCTAAACTTCCTCTTTTGGCTTTCCCCTTAAGTATCACCGTAGCCAACGATTCTAGTGCGCCAAACACTGTCTCAGGTTTACTGAAACCTCCCTCCAAACTACACATTGGAGCCTTCAACGTACGCACCCTATGTCAAATCGGTCAGCAGGCTCCCTTGGCTAGAACCCTAGAATCTCGTACCATTGATGTATGTTGTGTCTCTGGAACATGCATACACGATCCCAGTGTGGTCATTCACTTGACCTCAGCAATAGCCGGAATCCACACTACATACAGTAATTTCCTCTCAACGTTTGTTTATCGATATGCACTCCTGAAAAATGTGTATCCTCAATTCAACTTGTCTACTCAACATCAAAATTTCTCTTTGATTATGCTGATAGAGGGGAAGGACGTATGTTAAACTTGCAATTACATATTTTGTTGGAGTCGAGTAAGTGGTATAAATCAGCAAGCCCAACTCAAGAAATCGTAATCATCTTCTTGAAACTTTGGAGTTTACCGCTTACTACTAAAATACTTTATGAAAGCATTGAAGATGATCAGATCACAACACGGAGTAAATCGAAGAAGTCATCGATTATTGATTAGTGTTTTTGGTAAAGTTGAATTGGTCTTTATTGCCTACAACTGTGTGAAATTCCTGAATAATTTGCTCTCCAAAGTGGTAGAAATCGATTGTTTGAGGCCCTAGATATATACAGAATTCATTAATGACAAACGAATTTCTTTTACATTATTCACTAAATATTGAATGTGTAATTCAGTATACTTAAATTTGCTTCTTGCTTTATCGTCATTCCGTTATTTTTCCAATCTTTTTGAATTTTTTTGGAAATCTAGCACTTTTATGAATTAGCGTAATCGAAACCTCGAATTATCGTATCTATTTATTGATGGTTTTCAGTAAAATTCACAATTATTCTCAACGCAATATTTGTTTGTTCCCAGTCAGTAGCAATATCGCTTTTTTATCCCTCATTGGTAATTGAGATTGTAACTGCAGGTCTCTTGTTGCTGATTAGTGAAATCTAAATGAGACCAAGTTCATTTCTTATTCAAATTCATTGCACATTATCTTGCTGAACGTTTCATTCATTAAAAACGATTCGAGGTTATATTTAGTGCACGTTCAGCAATTAAGAATAATTTATAAGTCATATTTTAAGTAATAATTATATCACTCCTTGATTTTGTATAGACTTGTTTGCAGACTGATATGCATTTCTAGTATACAAGGTTTAATAATATCAATTCTGCCTAATACTAGGTGTATGGAGTTCGTGTTCACGATTCACTGTTTGAGTGCTCAACCATGCATTTTGTTCAGTGTAAATATGTTATAGCTTGTGGCCTGTGTGCCCTGTTAATGTATAATGTAACGATACCGCCAATTAGAGAGCAGTGAATTACCGATCGACCAATGACACATAAAACCCGTACGAGCAGCCTAGAGTCCTGATTGGTCCTGCTTCTCGCCTAGCCCAACCAGTTAAATCCAGAGCATCAATCTGAGCCTCTGTGATATGCATCATTATATTTCAAACATACTGAGTTTATATACTAATCGAACAAACCACAACGTACCATAAAATACGAAACAACATTTAGTACAAGATCTAGCCAAAAGTGGCTGTGAGTGTGGGAGGCAGTGAATAATAGAAAGAGCATAATTCAGGAATAGTACAACATATAATAATAGTTCATAAGTCAAAATAAAGTTTATAATAAGAGGAATATGAATATGAATAGTTTAGTTATTTAACAATTACACGATAAAAATACACACTTAGTATTTTTTCATAAATGGATCCAAAAAGTTACTATTCATTCTGCTTATCGGGACATAACAATAAGAAAAGTGATTTCTTAAGGTGGTGTATGATATCCTTTGATTTGAGTAGACATTAATTCGCAAATTCTTATTCTTTCTTAGATAAACTCAGAAAACACCGATATCGGTCAGTCGAAATCAAATATGCTGAATATATTTTATGATCCGTTGGGATTAGAAACAACTAATTGTAATGACAGTGGTTATCCGGTAGTTGACAGTATTAAAAAAGTGTCTAATCCTTCACATAGTTTTCATCCAGCTGATGGCAAACATAATCTACTTGAATCCAAAGACAATGCTTTAAATGTTATTAGCACAAAAATGAATGTTTGTATGGATGATACGTTTTTATTGGAATTTTTGGACAGAAATTTGGCTGGAACTGGTTCCAAAACTAATGTCGATTTCGCCGAACGATGTGGTTTAAATTCTCCAACAGCTTTTGTCGAAGATATGATTAAAAAAGCACAGAAAACTTTAAATCATCAGTATAAATGCTAATAGTTTTTTGATTAACTTTCCATTCCGTTTTTTCTGTATTAATCTCAACTGCATTTGTATATCATAGAACAATTCGGCGTTTTACTGGGGGTGTTACGAATTCTGGTTTGTCTTAGTTGTAATCTTCTAGCATATCTATATCTACCTTTAAATTTTCCTTAAGTCACTATGGTAATTCGAGTTTCGACATCCATTTTGATAACTTTCTATATTGTAATGAGAGGTTAAATGTTATTAGAACCATGTGATACACAAATAGGATTAATCTAATCATATAAATTAACAGGTTAATAAATTTATGTGCTGGTGTACTAATGTTGGGTTTAATTACTCTTATGGCAACCTAATTTGGTTCAAACTCCAATCTGATAACTCATAAAGATACTCGTGATATATGACCACGATATATCATTAGTTCATTACCAAAAAGCACTTAATAAGTATATGAACTTTAGTAACCACCATATGAGACTTCTTGCAAACTTTCCATTTAGCCATTTGGATAGTTTCGCTCTCAACGACTTATGCTTTCCAGTAGCTTTAATGCTTACTTATAATTACACTGTTTTCGTTCCAATTTATGTTTGATTGAAGATATGATGGAAACCAGTCTGTAAATCAGTGAAGTCTGGTTTGCCACTCACTGTTTTGTGAAAAAAATGGTTAATTCATAGTAAAGAACGACTGAGTTCATTGCTGCATCGCTCTGATTGTTGTTCACATTATCTTCTGACAAACTTTATTTATGAATTCAATAAAGCTTTCTGATTGCAGGAAATTTTCTTCATCGGTATGATTCGGTATTAATAATATGTTTAAGTGATAAATGCGACTCAAGTGTAATAAAGCTATAAATACTTTCCGAGTAATAATACAGCAATGACATGACTTCATTTGATTTTTTGGTATCTTATAGCATCTATATGAATAGCATGAGTATTATTTCAATGATCCCGTGTCTGTATGTTTGAATATATTAAATTTAAAACTTCCTTTCGCCTTTTCCTACTTTTGCACCAGTCAATTAGCTACATATCTTGATCCGTAATTTTTATCGATTGGATTTTAAGTTAAGTAATATCAAGTATATAAATGAATACATTTTCCTCCTGTGAAAATTTGTCAATTTATCATTGAACAGTTCGAAAGCGTAGACTTATTATACTCTTCTTAACGCCTACTAGAATAATGTGTCTATAAAATTAATTACGCTTGTTTAATCCTGCTCATAATAGGTATGGTGATGAATAGACAAGTATCTAGTATTATGGACTTCTAAACTGATCACCATATTATTCTAAGCAGAGATGATAATGGTGGCTAGCAGTTTGAAGCGAACGGTTCTGGGTTTGAGTCCTTAAGTGAATATCAACTTTGGGATATAGTTACATCCAGCTGACCAGTCCCATGTGGGACGAAATGCTCATCCTGTGTTCCACCTCTAGCCACTCTCACCTCCACCCACAATGCTTGTGATTGAAGGCAATATCAAAGCAATCCACACAGGATGCACATTTGTCAATAAGAGACTGGTCAATTGTATAATGAATTCTGACTACTGTACATCAATCATGCATACCTGTATTTATTCATTGTTTTAATTAGTCAACTTTACGTAAATAATCTGAATAGACAGAGAACGTCTTGGCTTTAAAATTTATGCGATGAAGATATTCATCAGAAATTCGTAAAAAAGTACTTGGATGCTACTGTATTCGATTTCTTCAATTCCCTAGCCGAATCGCGTCTACTTATTTATACTCCTATTCTATATTTTGAAGTCTGAAATATCTCGTCTTGTCTGTAAATTGAATGTCATTTATGTATTCTTAGGTACGTTTTTATGTACGCTTCGCAGTGTAGTTGCGTGAATTAACAAATTAATGTGCATATAAACCAGAGATTTACTGAAATGTAAAATCGAACTCATCCTGATCATTTTCGACTGGACCCAATTTACACTTAATAATCTTTCTCACTTTCCGTTTTCTACATTTTTGTTTATGTTTTACAAAATCTATTTTGAACACTTGTGTGAACTTTTCGATAATTTTAAGAATATGTATTTTCAAGTAGTGTAGATTGTTAATTAGTGGATTCTATTAAATGGGAAGCTGAAATTTTGAGTTAAGAACATGCGATGATTAGGCCAACTAAAGTTTATTTGATTTAAATATTAAGTACAAAACAATGTAAGTTGGTTACTCAATTGGAGGAAAAGAAATTGGAGTATGTTGACTCTTATGCTGATATAAAGTTTTGTAATCGATAAATAGGTATTTCACATGAAGATTGAATAGGTCCAAAAAATCACTCAAATGTTGTAGCGTCCCAAAATATGTTTAAGGTGTCGTATATGTAACTCATAACGGTTTTACCATGCATCGCATTTTATAACAGGATCCATTGGTGAACCAGCTGGACAACCATATGCACGTGCGAATCTTCTACTATTGACCAACGCTCCGATTACCCTTTCAAGGTAGAGAAAACAAAATTATTTCGTTAGTTTGTAGAGCTATGAACTAAACACACATACTGTAAAGTTTGCTAACTGAAACTACTGTTTTTTGATAAGGATTGTGAGAGGTTAATAAAATTCAAGGTAAAGTGGACGACTTTTAGTGCAGTTCTAGACCATCAGAATTCATTACTCTTTGAGTTTTTATGGCCGTTTGTATTATCTGTCGGATAACAGTTATATGGCATTCAAGCATAATAGTGTTCATTCTCGTTGCGGAATATAATGCTGAATACTTTTATACTGCAACATCTGCTATGTGAACTTTAGTTTGTTTCAACAAATATTTCAAGTCATAATATTTAGAATAGCATATGTAATTTATATCGTTATAAATTCTTACCTAAACTTTTCCAAAACATGAGGTATAACTACTTCACTTTGTGCAAGTATTTTCTTACCATGATGTCCACACATAGTCTTGAAAATGAGACAGTGAAAACAGTTGAAAAGTATATTACTAGTTGTTTGGTGATAAAACAAGACATGATTATAATTAAGCTGACGTTGCACTTATTATACATTACTTAAAGTATACTTCACTCCCCCTGGAGCCCCTCTTGGGCTACTTCTGGACCTAGGCCCAGATAAAAGAGGAGAGTTGGACATGAGGTTAGCGACACGATCGCGTAAAAATCTAACTCGCTGAAAAAACGCTAACCAGAGAAAATAAATCACTTAAACTCTGCTCTGAGAGTTCGAAGGTCTTCATTTAGAAGAGTTATGACGCTTCATGGTGAAAGACGAGTTCCTTCGCAACTTACGAATTTGAAGGTCCTTCTAACAACAACAACCTGAGCAACCACTAACTTAGGTCCATGGAATGTTCGTGCAACGTGGGAGACTGGAAAACTCATCCGAATTTCTGCAGAAATGAAAAGGTACAGCCTGAAAGTGCTTCGAATCAATGAAACACATTAGACGCAGTTTGGACAACAAAAACTAACTTCGGGAGAACTGCTCTTATACTCGGACCATGAAGAAGAGAGTGCTTCACACAGACAAAGAGTTGCACTGATGCTATCCAAACAAGAACGAAAGGCACTTATAGGATACGAATCTCTCATACCAATGATCATCAAAGCCTCCTTCAAGACAAAGAAAGAGGGCATTTCAATGAATGTCATCCAATGCTATGCGCCTACCAACGACTACAATGAAGATGTTAAAGATCAGTTATGCGATAGGCTGCAGTCAATCGTGGAGAAATGCACGACAAAGGACTTGACCATTCTGATGGGTGACCGAAATGCCAAGGCTCGAATGGACAACATTGGACATGAAGACATCATCGAACGACATGAACTGGGAGAGAGGAACAAAACTTATGTGCCTTCAATAAACTGGTCAATGGTGGCACCATATTCCCACATAAACGCATGCACAAAGCCACATGACTTTCACCGGATCACACTACACAGAACCAAATCGATCTTACCTTCGTCGACAAAAAGTTCAGGAGAACGAATGAGGAAGTGAAAACCAGGAGGGGAGCTGATATAGCCCCAGATCATCACTTGCTGGTCAACAAGTCGAAACCGAAACTCCAGAAGCACTGGACAACGGGAGGACAACATCTTTAATATCTAATAGGCATTTTCTTCGGGATACGAACAAATTCAAGATAGCACCCAGTAATGGATTCTAGGCCTTTCACGATCTACTCAAACAACACCATAGTCAGAATTTTCAATACAAATATCAAGATAGTTCTGCTGTATGGGGCGGAAACTTGGAGAACTTCGAAAGCTATCATCCAGAAGATACAGGTGTTTATTAACAGTTGTCTGAGCAGAAATACTTGAGATCTGTTGGTCAGAAACTATCAACAACAATCTACTGTGGAAGAGAACAAGCCAGATTCAAGCGGAGAAAGAAATCAGAAAGAAGCGCTGGAGTTGGATAGGACACACATTGAGGAAAGCAACCCGGTACGTCACGAGGCAAGCCCTCATATGGAATCCTCAAGGCCAAATGAGAAGAGGAAGACCAAGGAACACATTAGGCTGAGAAATGGAGACAGACACGAAAAGACTAAACAACAATTGGATAGAATTAGAAACGAAGGTGCAGGACCGAGTGGATAGGAAGATGCTGATAGGTAGCCTATAAGTGTGTTTAAACTGATAGTTTTCATTTTGATGATTTATGTTATTGTCTTAGCTTTAATCTTCACTACTTTTTCAGCTCCTTCAGATAATGTGAAAATATTATTGAGTTGACAGTAAATTGGAATAATAATTTTCGGTTGAATTTCAGGAATAATGACATGGATGTTATGATGATTTTTATGAAAGTGTTGATGTATACAACATTCACATCCACGTTCAAGGGGAACAAATAGTGTAGGATGAGTGTTTTAGATAAAGACGATAAATACCATTGAATATAACTTTGAGAAGTGCACCATAGGTATTCTTATAAATAACAGCAATTCGAATATTGGACTTACTTGTGCAAACGACAGGAAGAACAGTCGATCAGATTCAAGTGAATCATGGTTATCTTGACTAACATTGTTCGAGGACGTCTTCAACAAACGCTTGTATGTCTGAATAAAGAATGTTTTGTAGCGTAAAATTTACTGTGACTGAGTTAGTGTTTTTGAAATCAACGGTCATAATACATAGTAGTAAAACACCATTTATAGTGAATAGGTGGTGTGTTTGTGAAACACTTTTAGCAACGTGTTATGATAACATAGTTTGTATCATGAACGATCAAAATAAACCTATGCACATTGTGCTGTATTTCATAGTTTTCATGAATCGCGAACGAGAAATCAAGTAACAGAGTTATGTACCTATTTAAACCACCGAAAGAATCATTAGCTAAACTACTGAGTTTTCTGCCCATTGAATTGATTTCACAGAGATATTCCAAGTATGTTTGTGTGTTTTGTCCCGTTAATTTTATACTTCAAATCAAAGCTGACGCTAATGAAATTTTGTACAAATACAGTTTCGATTATTGGAGAGAACACTACGGACTGGTCGATTTTTGTTTTCATATCAGCAATTGTGAGAGAGCTGTTTGAGCTGCGTAGTAACAAAAGAACATTTGAAGGCGAACAAAGGAGTATATGACTGAGAATGTGATATTCCTTGGCATTTATTAAATTTAATTCCTTTCTATGTTTTGGTGAGTCAACAAAATTTTCTGTGTTGGTCTCATAAATGACACACGATTAATAGTATTATTTATTCATCTATACCATATTTAGATTTTAGTTCATTGAAAGGAAATCATCGAACTACTCAAGATACACAATAGTATTCTGAGGACTGATATCTAGTTTCAGTGGTCATAAACAAAATGACAGTAATTATCTGAATGTACTTACGTGGTACGACGCTTTTAATCCATCATTGTCAGCCAACATTTCTTCTTGAGTATCAATCTGAAAAGCCTAAATCATTGAATAATCAAGATGCATGTGCTGTGTAAGATTGTAAACCTGAAATCAGAAATGCTCACAATCTTGTTTTTACACTGAAATGTTATATGGTATCTATACAACGTGACATTCCATACGGTAGACTTTATTCTCTACAATGAGTGGTAATGTCACGCAAACAGAAATACTTCCAATTTTTATGAATTAAGTTTTAAGTTAAATGACTTATCATCCTGTAGACAAGTACTCATTTTTAAAGAGCATTTCATCAGTGGATGTATTAAAGTTTTATAATCAGTGAATGCAGTTAGTGATCATTATTGAATGAATGTGTATTTCATGAAATTCGTGTCAGACGATAACGATGTTGAATTGTCTTCGAAAGTCACTATTGATTAAAAGGAATTTCACTTCCGAACAAAAACCTGCTAGTAACTAGTCTGAATTAATTTTTTACTCTTGTTTTCTCTAATTTCTGTAGTATTTCCAAAAACAGTTTTTTCAAAATAAATCACATAACAATTTATGAAATTATGAGTAAGTTTCGTCAAAAATAGCGAAACAAAATTCTTAAAAAATAAGTCTTCAGTGTACAAGAGTGATATTCGGCTGGACAATCTAAGTTCATTTTGTTATATCCGAGCAAAAATGAAGGGATAGTAACTTTCTGGCGAGCTGTCATGTGATTTTGCAACCTCAGGTGGTGTCAGACAAGGCTGTCCACTATCTTCGTTTTTGCTCAATTTGATCACCTACTGGTAGAAATAGCGTTCTCATTGTCTGAATTTTCTGAGATTGATCTCCTGCCAGGAGGACCACTTACTGACTTGTAATACTCATGTGACATAGTCGCGTTTGGTGAAGACGCCAATAAAATGCAGAGATCTGTTTTAATTTACGGCTTCGATCAGTGCCCGTTTAGGGTAGGGGATACTCTTAAGTTACTAGTATTTGACCATAGATGTCGTATAAATATTGCCAGCATCTGCTGGGATCAGCTGGTAAGTAATAGTGAGGTTAGACTCGCGATACTAGGGAATTACGGTAAATCAGTTGATGAGGTTGCGAATGTTCATCGACTGAGATGGTTGGGCCACGTATTGAGCATGGAGACGTATGAAGAATGTTGGGGGCCGCCAAAACAAAATGTGGCATAGTATATTTAGATTATTATGTATATATTACTTTAATCATAAGCTTTCTATTGACCCATAAAACGCTTTTATTCGATTCGCTATTTTTATTCCCAATCTCTTATTCATAGTTTACCCTATTATCCATTTTTTGGATTGATCATGTATGATTTTTATTTTTTATTTTATGTTGGAATACAGTCTCGTGTGGTTGCATATGAACTACCTCTATCTGAAATATGTGGATTATCCTGAACAGGTGATCATTGGTTTTTTTATTCTTCTTCTTTGTTCGGAGTAAGTAGCTAGTGAGTGAACCGTCAAGCATAGAGTATGAGTCCTGCCCTCGTTGCATATCGGTTCCTTAAGGTTGTCTATGGGTTTTAGTCGCTGCTCGAACATAACATTCATGGAATCATTTGATTTGTTTATGGTGAACTTGACTAGTGAGATGGTGGAGAAGATTTGTAGCTCAGGTGGATGATTTTGGTAGAGTCAGAGAACAAAACTCCACCAAGAACTTGACTAGTAGAACACATTAAAATAGATCTGTGTCAATAAACTTTTAACTCCACATGTAGCTCTTCTAGAGTTACGGCCAGTCCCAAGCCCGGGTAAAGGAGGAGAGTTAGTCATGGAATAGCGACCCCATCTTGTAGACGACTAACTTGCTAAAAAGACGTTAACCAGTAAACAATAATTCAAACCACTTAAACTCTGTCTCAGAAGTTAGGAGATCTTCATTTAGAAGAGTTATGACGCTCCATGGTGAAAGACGAGTTGCTTTGGAAGTCACGAGGCTGATGCCTCATTCTTGAAACCAGAGAACCAATTTCTATAGGTACATGGAAAGTCCAAGCAATGTAGGAGACCAGGAAGACCAGTCAAATAGCAACGGAAATGGGGAAATACAAATTGGCAGTACTGTGACTCAGCGAAACCCATTGGACCCAAGCTGGACAACAAAGGCTAGATACGGGAGAGATGCTGCTATACTCCGCTCACGAAGAGGAAAATGCTCCACACACAGGGAGTTGCTCTAATGTTGTTGAAAGAAACACGAAATGCACTTGTAGGATGGAAATCTCACGGATCTAGAATCATCCAAGCATCATTCTAAACAAAGAAGAAGGGGATCACAATGAATATTATCCAAGGTTATGCACCCACCAATGATAGAAATGACGACATTAAAGACCAGTTCTACGATAGGCTGCAATCAATCATAGCGAAGTGCCTAAGAAAACACCTCACCATCCTGATGGGAGATCTAACTGCCAAAGTTGGAATTGATAACAACTGCCTTCCTTCGAGATACTAAGAAACTCAATAAATTCAAGGTAACTCTCAACAACAAGTTCCAAGTCTTACAGGATCTACTGAAGGAAGACGAAACTACCATAGAGGAAAACAAGTGCCAATGGGTTGGAAAGAAGGACACCTCATCAAGATTCCAAAGAAAGGAGATCTGAGCAAATGTGAAAACTACAGAGGCATCATACTGCTGTCAGTACCAGGGCAAGTCTTCAATAGTGTTGCTGAACCCGATGAAAGACACAGTAGACGCCCAACTTCGAGATCAACAGGCTGGATTTCGTAAAGATCGGTCGTGCACAGACCGAATTGCGACACTATGGATTATCGTAGAACAATCAGTTGGGTGGAACTCGTTACTATACACCAACTTCATTGATTATGAGAAGGCGTTTGACAATGTCGATAGGAGAACATTATGAAAACGTCTTCGACACTATGGAGTTTCTGAGAAGATTGTCAACATTATCACGAACTCATACGACGGATTACAGTGCAAGGACCGGAGTCATACAAGGCTGTTTACTCTCTCCCTTCCTCTTTCTTCTGGTGATTGATTGGATTGTGAAAACCTCGACATCTGAGGGAAAACACGGCATGCAATGGACATCTCAGAAACAAATAGACGATTTTAACTTGGTAGATGACCTAGCCCTCCTATCGCATACACACGAACAAATGCAGATAAAGACAGCCAGTGCATAAGCGGTCTCTGCATCAGTAGGCCTCAACATACACAAAAGGAAACCAAGGTCCTCAAATACAACACAGAGAACACCAATCCAATCACACTTAATAGCGAAACTTTGGAAGATGTGGAATCCTTCACGTAACTGGGAAGAATCATCGATCTACGAGGAATATCAGATGCAGATTTAAGGGCGAGGATTAGCAAAGCGATTCCTACAATTGAAGAACATATGGAATTCAAAAAAATCGTCAACCAATATTAAAGTCGGAATCTTCGATACGAACATCAAGACATTCTTACTGTACGGAGCGGATACTTGGAGGACTACTACAACCATCATCAAGAAGGTACGAGTATTTATAAATAGTTGTCTACGCAAGATACTCAACATCCATTGGCCGGACACCATCAGCAACAGCCTTCTTTGGGAGGAAATTAAGGAAAGACGGCGGAAATTGATAGGAAATGCATTACGATAATCACCAAACTGCATCACAAGACAAGTGTTAACTTGAAATCCTAAAGGGAAGCGGAAAAGAGGAAAGCCAAAGAACACATTACGTCGGGATCTAAAAGGGTGAATAACAACTAGAAATACTGTAAAAGGATTGCCTGGGACAGTATTGGATGGAGAGTGCTGGTGGGTGGCGTATGCTCCCTAACGAGGAGTAACAGGTGTAAGTAAGTTGATGTACTTTTGCTGTTTATTTGAAACCGGAAAAGAGAGCAATAACTGGTGTCACATTTAATGGTAAGTTCATTTTCCAATATTCTCAAACTTTTTAAGTAAAATACAATTTAAATGAAGTTGGTAACATCACTTGATGATGAGCGAAAATGTTTAGTACTAAATAACCTATGACTATACAAAATTTCAGTAAATATTTATATTTTCACAGATTTAAATCATGAGTCAGTTGAAACTAGACCACCATTGAAAACCTGGATACACTGAACGGCTGTTTCGTCCTAGTATGGGACTACTCAGCAGTGCGCATCGACGATCCCGCACCACGTAGGTCCTGGGTTCCAGCCCCGCGTGGTGCGGGATCGTGGATGCGCACTGCTGAGTAGTCCCATACTAGGACGAAACGGCTGTCCAGTGCTTCCAGGTTTTCAATGGTGGTCTAGCTTCAACTGACTCATGATTTAAATCTGTGAAAATTTCTAAAATCTCCACAAACCCCTTCTGAAAATATTTATATGTTCATATTTATAATTTAACTAAACTTACTTTTAAACCAGTGTAATTATAGGAAACATACTGACGACTCAAACATAAAGCTTTCAAATGTATCAAAGTGGATGACATTAAAGCATCGTAAGAAGTCCGTTTATTCCAATTCTCATCATACTGTACACCTTGAGATACAACGAAACTAATAGGTTATGTTTATTGAAACTGTAATTAATTTTAACATAATTGCTAGTGTGCATGTAGAGTAGAAGAAAGAGAAAGCAGAAATCAGTGCATATTTGTTTGGTAACCACCAGTTTTTACATCAATCGAAATGAAAGAGTAAAATAATGAGTTTCTCAGAAACTAATACAACAGACATAAAAGGAGATAGATGGTGTCTATCAGTGTAATCCAGAATACTCGTTTCGTTCTATTTGGGACTCGTCATTTAGACGAACCTACATCCTAGCTCTGCTTATAATGCTTATGACCTAAGACAATATCAAGGCGATCCTCACAGAATGTACGTATGCCAATAAGTAACCAATACATTGCAGTCCTTAACATCAATGAGAAGATTCAAACAATCAATATTAAAATGAAATTATACAACAGACGTTTAGACGTGACTCATCAACGTACAGCATACCAGAGTAAAACAAATTATTTCATATGATTCCAAATTATTCCATTGGAAATTACATTTGATATAAAACTAAATGGGAGGATGGTTTTCAATCAGTTCTATGGAAGAAGTTTCAACTATGCACTACAGTGAAAATTTATACCATCAATTTACTATCAGGACAACAGCAGTCTAATGTTGTATTCGAAAACGAGTGTGATATTCAGTGTATGGTAACAGAGTAATACTCAGTATTAATTAGTCTGTGATTTATGGAATAAAATTATTTTGTGAAGTTCGAAAGATTAAAATCATGGGAACTAATAAAAAGCAAACTATGACTCACATAATTCGTCAGTTTCTAATGAAAGTGCCACTATCTAAATGTACCTTCAATTGATAGTGAGTGTACGCTCGTGAGACGTGGATCGATGACACAAACATGCTTTTCAATCAGTTATTACAAGTAACCGATATGAGTGTGAACTAAGCTGACTTGGATGTGGTCAACTATTTAATAGTTAAGCTGAAAAGATTTAATATTTCGTTCGAAGTACGACGAGACTAGACTAGTTGAAGCCAACCGCTGCATGGTATCACAAGCAAAGTGATTTATACATTACTGAACTAAACTGGAACTTTCACCTCTTATTATATTTAAATATTGTGACGATTGGCTAATGAATTCTTTCTATTCATATTATAGTGAATTATCGTGAGATCACCCTCCTTTCAGTGATGTGCTGATTTCGGGAATGTATCGATACAGGACGTTGGTGGTATTTTGTGATTCCATAATCCCAAAACGCTTAATACTGACATGTGGAGATTGTACACAATGACAAAATATTATTCGGATATTACGTGATGTTTGACCATAAGATCAGTTTTACCAAATGAACAACAAACTGAGATCTTCAAACTCAGGATGTTGACATTTTGTTGATATGCAGAACAAATGATGCTGATGAATACACCTTAATAATTAGTCAAATAGTAAATTTCTCTATGAATTCATTAGACAATTAAATGATATTGTGGTTTTATGAACAGTATTATACCGAAAGTAATAATTTTATACAAGTTAATTATTATTACCCTTAACAAACTGAAAATTTAGTGTAATGATTGAACAAACCTCGGATACCTATGCCATGTATAATTTCATGACTTATAACCCAACCAAGTGCTCCAAATTTCGAAGCTAAACTACCATTTTCATAATAAATTGGAGGTTGTAGAAGTCCTGAATATACATATACGCGATTTGCACCCATTGAATAATAAGCTGTTGCAAGAAATGCCGGTGATCCTGTGAGAGATCTGTTCACAAAAAGATAAACGTTTGGTTATTTCAAATGTCGTACCATTTCATTAAAATTTCTCATTTACTACAATTCATCAGGTAATCATTTCGAGATTACTACGGTACGAAATGTCTGGTATTTCAGTTTTATCACAAACTAGCATGGATTATATTTACATGATACTTAATGAATCGGTGAATGAAGCGGTTTTATTCATACTAGAATTGGGTAGAAACTGGTATATCAGTTTACAATATGAGATTATGGAATCTGAATAAAAGTAACCTTTTACAACCGCTTTATTAATATGGATTCTAATATTCAAATTAAATATCTGTGGTTTCCTAAATAGCCAGTAAGTGAATAATCAGTTCAACTTCTGTACTAATAGAACTAGGAGGTTTGCCGTTTGAATAATTTAGACTATTAGTAATTATTTTACATAGATTTTAGTCTGTTATTTGGGTTCACATTAGTAAGTAGTGTGAAATCTCCTCAAGACGAAAATATAAAGACGCTATGTGATATAATAGTAGTTATAATAATAATAATAATAATAATGGACAATTAGCATTTGTCGTTCAAGTTATAAAATGAATGAAATCTTCTCACCTCATTACCATCTTGAATAATGTAATGAAGGCATAGAAAGTTTTCTTAAGAAAAATAATTTGTACATCCTTCTGTTTTCTAGGATTTTAATTAGCATATTCGTTACAAGATTTAAAGGGAAGATGTCCAAAGACGAACCAAACACACACTAAATCAGTTCACGAAATCAATTCGATTTCATAGTAATGTGGGTTCTATTCAGTAGAAGGCATCAATCCATAAGATAATTTCGATTAAAGTATATTCAAATGTTTGCAGTCAAATAGTAAAATTAATAATTTGTGATAACTTGTATTGTTTTTATATCAGAGATATCATGACAACTTACGGGTTATAATTGTATAACTGAGTTTTCAAAGTGTCAATATGTTTCGCTTTACGGATATAGAATTCATTTGTGTAATAATTGTCCTCTCGAATAGGGTACTAAATATTATTTGTGTGAAAAGACATTGACAGAGATCATTTAAAAGATGTTTAAAGCACGTTTTATACATTCTGTTTTCCAGTTTATTGAGTAAGTATTTGTGAATCAATGGTTTTGGGAAAATGCAGTGTCATTGAAGCAACATTTCGGATTTTCATTGTCAAACTAATCATTGTCACGTAAATTGACTTTCCTCGATTTGTAACGCCGAGTTACCGAAATGATTTGACTAATGCATAAAATTGTGTGAATAGTCATCGTGTAATTATAAATTTTATCACTTAATGATATACACACAACATTGTAGTTTGGCAAGTTTATAAATGATTTTGTTCATGCATCCAAGTAGTTGAATTATGGTGAGATTGATGTGTAGTTTTTGATGACCAGCAGATTAGTACATAAATTGACCGATATATTTGAACCTTTTAGGGTTTAACCTCTGAGTTGCCGAACTGCAGAATAAAGATCAGTGAGTTGACGTTTCTCTGCCACGTAATGATTGAGACGAACCAATGTTGTTTGGAAATGTGAAATATGGTTTTATTACACTAAGTGTTATCAATGATGAGTTCTAGGAATAACGGTGTCTTTTAAGTTTCACATGTCTCCTCCGTGATAACCGGAGTTATTTTGTGTAGAAATAGCTTATTATTATATACATTGATATATAATATAATCAGTTTTCAATAAAATAATCATTATTTGTATCGAATGGACATGTAGAATAATTTATTTTTCAATAGTATAATAACCGTAGTTAACTTACTTGGAATACCGTTGAGTGATTTTCTTTTTGTTGAGAAGAATTATGACTGGAGTACAATGCAAATATACCCATCTTTGATACCTACAATTTTTCATAACAATCAGTTATCTTAAACAAACCCTGTGTTTCTGGAATCTCTTTTCTTCTTCATCAAACCACTTAACTCTTTGTATTGAGTTAGTTATAGTGAGTTTAATTTCGTTAAACATATTGATCACCTGTAATCGAGTGAAAATGATTAGAATTGAGAAAGTGTATGTCATATTTGAAAATTATTGTTCCACAAAATAATAAGCCTGTAACATATGCATTAATGCTTTTCACCAACTCTTTGAGCAGCCTTTTAAATAATCTTGGTAGCTTTTTGTTTTGAAGGATCTACTTGAGGCTTTTTTCTTTTCGACCTTTTTCACCTTCTTCAATTCTTTTTTCTTTTGTTTGTTTTTCTTTAGCTACTCGTAAAAGTGGTTGTAACTTTATTAACTGAAAACATTCTACTGGTTGTACCTTTCTGTTCCTCCCATTATTATTCTTATTATTACACTAACACACTAATCTGTAGTCGTTATTGTTCTTTTTTTCTTATACGCACCTTACTTTCTTATTATTTTCCCTTCCTCATTGTTTTGTGTGGCGTATATATGCCTGGGGCCCTCTTGTATCAATATTTATGTGTTCAAATAAAATAAAATAAAAAACAGATAATTTATGAGATCCGAACATGGGCGTATCTTTAGCGTGATCTTAGCAATACAGTTGTTAATGCATAGCAGGTGATTGTATTATATCAACTGTCCTACAACCAATTTCGATTATGGTTATTGACTTACTTGACAGACAATGTTATTTGAACAGTAACAATTTGCATATCTCTTTGTTCCGTTATGATCACTAGATCACATGACAGGCTCTAGCTGAAGTGTGAATATCTTAAATGTCACTCAATGATTCATCCTCCTCCTCATGTATGCATGTACTCAAATCCTATTATTAGTCCTTGCTTTGCCCTGCTGTTCGCCTATTCGATTTAACTATAAATTTGCCTCTGTATTTGCTCGCATAAACATATTCGCTTCTCTGCTTCAAATTCGTTTGATGTACTTATAGCATTGTAATCTGCGCTATCCGCTAAAAAACCGTAGTTACCACTTCTCATTGCCTTCTGATTTCAAACATCGTTGAGGTTTATTTAATAACGGTTACGAAGGTGATCGATGAACTGGCTATGCCACTACAGTATGATAGATTTCGGTTTTTCAAATCGACCATTGATTTCTGTTCATCAAGAATATGTTTTTGATATTTAAATTGTGTACCAATATACAATCTAGCAGAGTAGCTAAATAAGATCATTTTTATGGATATTAGAATCTGTATTTTAAATAGATTTGGTGCGAAACATTTTATACAACTAATAAAAACATTTTGAGTGGTTAGGTGCGTTTAACTAACATCATAGTTAGTTACCTACTCTTACCAAATTGTATTGTGTTACACTTAATCTTGGCAATGTAATGTAATGTTTAGAATAATGAAGTCTCGTCCCATATTGTTTGAATAATTATTGCACAGTGTAACTCCCAGATCTTAAAAGAGTCCACACCAGTGATGACACTTCGTAGGGTTTCTGAAAGTTATTTGAAAAACAATCAGCAGATTTTCACGGAAACTGTGGTTCTTTCGAGAAAATTGCTTTGAGTTGATTGTCTAACCGAATCTTGGTCGACATTGAAACGATGTTGACCATTTGAGGTAATTCATGTAGGAACGTATATCCGAAATCGAAAGAATAATTTCACAACTGTTGAGGGACAGGTTTGTAGGTGATGGCGAAAATATGAAAGTGTTTTGGAAATTCTCATGAATTACCATCAAAGTAATCCTAATTTTCACATCATAAAGTTTGTCAGTAGGAAAAGTAACCAAAGTCAATATTATTTAGCACAAATACCATCAAATTACTCTGAAATAGAATTCAGTTCAATATATCTCGTCTATACTTAATTGAAATAAAGTGTTCTGATTTGTAATGTCAGTCGTTCAATAAAAGCTGATAGAATTGGTCGATGGATTGAGTTTACCAGAACTGCTTTAATGGGATCTATCTAGTTCACAGACTGTATCCAGAAAGATGATATAAAGTTCAATTGAGGTCGTCTTCTATGTACGTTGCTCGAGTTTCGCAACAGAGTAATATCATATCATTTTTTGTGAGGTGTGCTCTAAATTGTGTTATTCGAAGATATTTGTTTATGTTTATGTAATTTAAATGAAAAAGTGTAGTATTCTCTTGTTTTGAATAATTCTAACCTTCGAATATGAATAGTCGATTGTTGAGTATAGAGGGGTTTCTGTCAATATTCTAGTAAATTTATGTTAATTTCGATTATTCTCTCAAAGAATCTCAAAGCATACTTCTTACCGAAAATTACCAACACTTCAAATTTTATAACAATAATGTCTACAAATATTTCTTTTAATATACTTAATGTTTAGAATGAAAAATAAGATTTTTTCAATAACTAACTGCGTTCACATATTAGTAGCAATAAGACAACTGGTAATCACTATATTGAGTTCCATTTATCCATTTGTGGACAGTTAAACTCTGTCATCGATTTCAAGCTCATCAAAGATAATAACTTAAAAGCAATTTTTGAATGTATCTTGTATCCGACATCATTTTCCATCACCCTAATATAACGATGTTTGTTCACTGTAGTGCTTCTACTAACCTATCATGAAATAAAACACTGTATGTACAACTGTCCATTGTCAAAAATTGAACGGTTTTTCGTTATGGTAAGTAAACGATAACACAAACCATAATCAATAACTGCATTCTGATTTACAGACCAGAAAACAAACTATATGTACGTTCGTTCGAATGTGATAATTATATTGTAGCCCTTAGACTATATGCGGAATTCTCCAATCAATGAATTGCTTGTTACTAGGATTCTATTTACATTGTCTCATTTCATCATGTAACGATTTCATATTATTGCTGAGCGTATCTACCGTTCAAACATTGTAGATAAGTGAAATATGACATGAACCAACCTCTGCTTTGTGTGTTTCGTTTACATGCGAACGGATATAATGTCTTTCAAGCGTCCATGGAAATGCATCCTTCAACCGATTTATACATTGCTCATCAAAATGTGGCTGTGAAGCTATTTAAAATAAAGTGTAATAATGTTATGTTGTGAGAGGATCAAATGAATTTATGTAAGGAAGGAACGGAATCAGTGAGTATCTCAACAAATATAAAGTTGATCTTGATATTCTCCATGAAGCACAGGATACTCTATCGTACAAATCCAGTGTTTACAGGTTTAGTGTTCATGACTACTTGTGTACTCAATCATCGTATACTTGCTTCAACACTAAGTTCAGAAAGAATATATTCAAAATAATGTTTAATCAATAAGCTGTTTACGTCCACTACATTGCTTTGAATATCAGGACGTGCTTCAAAGTATACTTTAATATTTAAAGTCATTCCACTTCTATCAATATGACTGAAAATGGCAATGATGGATAAATCTGCATTGGTTCAAGGATAATGGATTACGTTGATGGGATTTACTGAGTATACTAGATTTGTACATATATGAATATGTCTTCTGTAGAATTATGCAGGCAGAATACAATAGGAAGTTTTGTTTCGATTAGTAACTATTGCCTTGTTTATTTATGTGATTTCTATTGATGAATAACTTTTTTATACTGGTTATTAGTATATTTGTTGGTGCTAGTGCAGCCAGTGATTATCAGGTGTTTGACGTTAACTTTATTCATATGCTCAATACTTTCGACATCACTGGTGACCTTAGATCATATAAATTAAGAATATCATACTTGTTAATTATATAAATTTGCAACACATGAACACTGGTCGGAGCGTTTCTAGTCATGAAGATCATTGATATACAAAATTTGTTCGCTACCGATCAACCTATCTCCTTGTTGTTACTCCGACATCGGTTATAAACTGATGTACTGTACCTTTTAATCACAGTTTATAAGAAATTAAGCTCAGTATTTTCACTTTCAAAGCATTGTAAGGGTCGTAATAACTTGTGAAAAGATGTTTGTTTTTTAAGGATACACATTTTCTCCGTACATTATTGTTGATGAACTAAAACATGAATAAGTGCGTTAGTAGTTTAGTCGTTTAGCATCAGAGCGGAAAAACAGTTTTCAATTCAATGCGCACCAAGCTTCACTTTATTATACATTTACCTGTTCACAAGTATAATTATGTATTATAGTAATGGTTAATAAATACATTATCAAACGAATATTACTATCCACTAGTACATATTTTACGGTCAATGTCGTTATTCCAGTTGTTCTCATAAACAGTTCAATGCAATAAAATCGTTGAATTACATGCAGAAACGTGGTTAGAAATTCAATGTCACATGAATAGCCGCTTCACAGTCTTATCATTGACTTTAGGATGGATATTTCACAGTAACGAGTAATTAAATCAGTATATTATTGCCAAATAACATTATCGATATAACAATTTGGAAATGAATATTATGTCTTATAAATTCATGTCAATCATCAAGATTGTCTATTACGAATAATCAATTCATGAAATTTTTTATCGACAATTTCACATAAATCCAATTCTCATCTAGTTGACGGAATCTGTTTCTTCAAAACGGGATGCAATATAATGAAAACGCGTAAAACTGCCCCCTGAATTGATATATCCGTGTGTAGTGAACAAAATTTCATGACCTAAATATTCCATACTTTTTAGTTACTACAAATGAAGTAATTCTACTGTATAATGTCAGTATTAAGTAAATAAATACATTAATGAATATAATACTAACATGAATTGAAGTTATGATTCGTTCCAAATGTATGAACGTTTAGTGTATTCTTTTGTTGTTCTCGTAAAAAATCCATAATAGCTATTGTGCGTAGAGTACTAATGAAGGGAAAAAATTTAGGTCAACAAATCACTTCACTAAAGTTAGGGTAATCATAGTAATAATGAAACAGCATCGGTAAAACAACATACTGAATTAATTTCGACAGAACAATGAGAAGATGGAGTTGATCTGAAAAATGTGATGTTTTAGCGCTATACATTTCGAACAATCTGGTCACACATATACTTGTCAGGGCATTTTTATATGAAAATTAATAAAGGTCAAACAAATTAAAGTACAATTAGAATAACTAAGGGGAGAGAAATAATAAGAAATTGTCGCGTTATCCTAGGCCATAGAATGACTTAAGGATTACCAAGGTAAATTCAAGGTTAAGACAAATTGTTTTTGTACACATAAAGGGGGTTTAAATTTACGAATAGCCAAGGCTTCAATAAACTTAAGGATTCGACCTTGACAATTTCTGTGCAACATTCTAAATGCTGTATTAATGTTAATTTTGTGCTCCGTCTCAATTATATGTTTTGCCATCGATGAGTTTGGTTTTCTATCTCCTACATTGATCGGATCATTTGACATACATTGAATTTGAAACCATCTAGGCACATGTTCGTTAACCCTTGATAGCATTGTTCGGTTACTTCTCCCAATGTATGTGTCCACACAAACATGTAAATTGGTAAATACAATGGGATGTGACGTAATTATTAGTGCATTGTTTGGGTCTATTAGAATCATGACCTTAGACTTTTCAATCACCACCAACTGAACAGCAAAATACGTATTCTCGATGGCTGCTTTCAATCTCTGCCTTAAGACTATACTGTTAGATTCGCCTCTATTTGGTAGATTGATATAAACTTTTTTCTTTGGCATTGAATAAATTAGAGGTCTTGGCATTAACTGACTTTTGCACCTATTATTAAACTTGAGTGGATAACCATTTGCTATTAATGTGTCAGTCAGTAACTTTTCATCTTTTTCCACCATGTCAGAGGTACATATTCTTCGAGTCCATCTAGAAATTGTGAAATTTCAAAGAAGACGATCCAAGTTAACAGAACTAACATAAACAATCTGTCCAGTTTCTTAGAAACAAATAAGTCAACACATTAGTCAATCATTGATATGTTTCATTTTAAACAATGATATGTTTAATATGTTTCAGATAATGCAATCAAAAACTATGTTTTTATTTACTTGATTAAAGTGTGAAAAACTTAACAATTCGCTCAACTACTAGGTAGGAATGAAAGGTAATAATATTGATTAATAAACAGCTACTGACAGATAAAATTGACTAAATATTTCATATTAGTGTCTTTCTGGCATAGATTGAAACTGAATGACTAGAATCTATGTTGAACTCTGTAAATTACAACAGTCTCTTTCTTTGTGACAAGTGTAACAATGAAATGTTTTCATGCATAACGTAAATAGTTTTATTATCCAAATGTAATTACTAAACTTACGTACAGCTATTAGATTATATTTCTATCTCATCTAATTATTTCCACAGTTTTAAATCATGAATTGATCTTAGTTAGACTCCCTGTGAAAACCGGGAAACATTGAATGGCCGTTTCCTGCTAGTATGCGACTCCTCAGTAGTGCATGTTCACGAACCCGCATCCAGGAATCAAAACCAAGCTCCTCAGTCTCACACATGAACGTTAAGTTTCTAGATTATTGAGTTAGTATCCAACGGTGTAAAGGTTTAATTTCAACTGACGATATTGCGTGACCCTCATCTATTGTATGTGATGGATAACCATTGTGGATACACACAGATTAAGCATCTCATACGAGGTCAAAGGAACCGTCAAGTACTTCTAGGTTTTAGTGGTAGTGTTACTGAGGTAAACTCATGATTTAAAAGTGCAATTTCTACAGTCTCCACAAATCCTTTACACTAATGCAATTCGTTGTTGAGAGATGTAGGTGTATATTTTTATAAACTTATCGATTGAGAAATTCTATGTTTGTTGCCGACCATAAGGAAAATATAGTATGCTTTACCTCCCACCATCATTTTTCGTCAATAAAGCACGGTATTCTGCGCAACGTTGACGGAGTTCATTTCGCTGTTCTATAATGATTGGTAGTTTGTGGTATTTTACATATCCAGTTTCTTGTAATACTTTTTCAAGTATATAACTCCAATCGATCTACACAAGTAAAATAAGTTACAATGAGCTTATAATATGGTTTCACGAGATGAAATGGAAGAATATTTTCAGTGGCTTTCACGACACATATAACAGCCTTTTTCATAGAGATGACCACCTGTGTATTTCTAGGTAAAACAGTTCAGTAATCTAATACTGATTACTGAAATTCCAAGTAAATATAGATCCCTAAATAGCTTAGCTTACAAGTATTCTATAAAATGAAGATTTCGAATGCTGACTTTCATCTGTTCACTACAAATAATGTCTCACTATTCTGTGCCAATTAACCTACACTTTGTAGCATACATTGATAGTTAACAACTACAATTTTTGTTAAGGAATCTCAGTTAAACTACTTTATATTTTTTTTTAAATATAGTTGGAGCAAGTCATAGGATAATATTTACCTGTGGACAAATGGATTGTAGTTCGTTTTTCGTCACAAATTCATTCAAGAATTGTATCCTTGCGTTCGACTTCTTTTGGAGATTGAGCGTAAAACATAACAAGAATCAAAATGGCAGTTGTATCGTAATTTCAATTAAATATCACAAAAGGAGACTCTTGGGTGAAAATCATTTAACAGTCATGGTCTGACAATTGCACACTCCAGATATACGATATTAGGATTTTAAGAAGCAGCGTTCACCAATTGTAACGATGAAATCTTACTGCCAATAATGATCTTCTAGTCGGATTTACAGGAATGAAAGGAGAGTTTTCGGTTGGAAAGCGTGTAATAGCCATTTCTAATTAGGTGGGACATACGAGGAAAGCATGATACCATGATATTTGTCTGAAATCTGTTTCGGTATTTCGAGTGGTTTTTCTATTATTCATTTTTATCAATCAGAAGACCTATAAAAATAGGCAATCTGCTCAAACCTTGGAGTCACATTTTCCAGTTGATGTTAATGCAGTCGATTACCAATCTGTTTCCGTGAATCAATGATACATAATGGCTATATGACATACGCTTATGCATTTATTAACAGTTAACAACTTATTGTGATGCTGAAATCATTAGAATTCAGGTAAATGGTTATTCGTATATTTCGTTCGTTTTATCATATATGAGGGGAATGTACATGAAAATTTGTACGTGGAACAGATTATTATGTGCAGAGAAAATCGATCAATTCTAGTAGTGCAAAACAATATCATCTTATTTTTGACTTGGAAACATACGAATTCTTAAATAAACTCACTCTGCCTAATCGAATCATTTTTCGGAAAGCATCCGTTAGTTGTGGTTTTTGAGACTGAGTTACACCAGTTTCAAATGCAAGCTTGTAGTAATCCTCTTCGGATTTATCCATATCAGTCTGTTAAATAAAATGTGGAACATCTTTCATTCAAACTGAAATATACATGTAAAACTGATTGGATGAGACGTTGAAATGCACATTGATATAAAACAGAATTTATCTGTGAAATATTTATCATCGTTATTCAAGATGTACAGATATCTCCAAAATATACAAACAGTTTTGAACTTTTCTATTGTGACTCAACATTTGTCGACTGTTCTGACTGAGAATGACGATTCATTAGTTATTCTACAATGTATTAGATTAAGTCATATTATTATGAGTATCGAACTTCCATATTGATGACACATATGTTCCCACCCTGGCATCTCACACTTAGCCTTCGTAATACATAGGAAAGCAGTGTACCACGAAAGACAGGATTTATAATTATGCGAATAAAATATCTATATTAACGGAGATTGCGTTCACCTTGTCAATGAACAGGTAACAGTGTTCTTTATTTATGTACCTTTAAAAAATCCTACTGAAATTTTATCATCCATTTTTCTAATTTTAACTTTATATAGAAATACTAGTAAATCTATTTAGATATCTTTTGTAATTACAAATGCGATATGACAATATGATATCTTCTTTCGTCATTACTTACAATTATATCAATGCTGTTTGTCATTCACATCCTCATCATACTCTGTCAGCTAACGTGATGTAATGTAAACGCATATAAATAGAGTGTTCAAATGTGGCCTGATGAGTAGCAGTCTGTTAATCTTTTACCGAATTGTCAACAATTCGGCTGCTACCATAATTTGACAACTTTCTTTAGATGCCACGAATAAACATCATACTGAAGAGCTGATTTTGTAATATCACGAAAACGTCTAAATTAAACTCAGTGACGTGATACATAGAGCGTCAGTTAATCCAATCGCATTAATTTTCATACCAAGGAATGATTTAAGTAAATACGAGGTAATAAAATCATTCGGCTGAATGAAACGTTTGCACGTCAATGTTTAAGACATTTCTGACATTTTATTGAAGTCAAAATGAGATAGAAGTCAGACGCTTTCATTGAATTACCTATTAAATAAATAAGTTCTAGACAAATTCAAACGTTACCTTCTGTAAATCTGTCCGAAAAGCGAACTGACCAGGTGAAATCTGATGAGAGATTAGAATTACAAAATACATTTCAGTGGTTTGTTAAACAATTAAACAAGGTACATACTGCATAAATCATGTAATAGCAATCTGAATTTTATTCAACCTGTTTTTACCGACAATATGTATGTGAAATATATTTGCTTAGTTTGATACAATTTCTTGTTTCTGAGATATATTGAGAGTATATTATTTCTATGAATATTACCATGACATTTTCATGGAATGACACATTGATTTACAATGATTTATTACGTGTATTGACTATTTGAAATTGTTATTTAGAAATTTAATTGCTAAGCGGATTACAGTAAAACCATTTATGTGTTTTATGTGAGAAAATGGTCGTAATTAAGTTCCGTAAGTGAAAAAAAGACAACACAGTGGTGTAAATTTCTTCTTGACGTTATCCTTTGCCATAACTTTACAATGGGATTTATAGAGATTTAATAAATGAATGGGTTTATAGAATTATAGAGAGAAATTATGTTTAGGTATTCAGTGAAATCAAGTATCAAAGGAAGGTTAGGTAATGATCAAGGCGTTAATGAAGATTAGGAACATAAAAGTTATTTCCAGGTCGGAAATTAGAGAGATTATTGTTATCTTGATAGACATGAACGAAAACTTAAACCCTTCAAGGTGATGATGACAATGGAATAATATTTCTGAAAAGTTGTACGAAGGTCATTATTACTGGCTACTGATTAAAGAAGTAAAGTATAATAATAGAAAATATGCTGGAAGCGGTGGGAGACCCACAGAGACACGAACACTGTATCGTTCGCTTCAAACGCCATCGAGTGATCCACTTAGCTACTGACTCCTGATACCCACAAGTTTGTGCAATGGAGTGAAGTTTGAATTCACTCCGTATTGTTTGCTTGAATCTTCCCATTGATGTTTAGGACTGCAATTAATCAGTCTCCACTCTCAGATCCAAGTATATCTAGCTGACGAGTCCCAAGTAGGACGAAGAGCGCGTCCTTTATTCTACTGCTAGCCACCACCTGTCATTGTCTAGAATGCTTGTGAATTAAGGGAATTTCGAGGCGATACGCACAGTATGCACATATGCCAATAAGAGACTGACCAATCGCAGTCGTAAACCCCAATGGGAAGATTGAATTAAACAATACCAAGTGAATGTTACTTGATAGTACTTTAAGTTATGTACCGTGTTACGAGATGGAACCATCTTTAACATGAGTGGTTCAGTATCCTTGATTACTCAGAAGTCGAAGTTTTCTTAAATGATAACAGTCAATTTTTAATGGTTATGCGAGCGGTTTATCAAAATTCTTTTATTCACTATGACCAGTTTATATGGCACATGAAAGGTCAAACAACAATAAAAAAGCATTTGAAGTAGTATGATGTGTTATGGCTTAATTCTACAAATATGACTTACGTAGTCTTTGTTAAGTATAACCGAAATGAATTAATCTGTCGTCACAATTATATTTTAGTTTTTAGTAGTAAACATCAATGGAATGATTTTCCTTAGTAATGCAGTAGATCATATATTTAGTCGTCGTTGTGTTCAAAAAGGTATTTGAATTTTCAGAATTTCTTATCAAAGTCTAAATACATTTTTTTATTCACGTATGTACATCGTTGAATCTCTAGCTACGACAGTGAAAATTACTCATTAGTTTATTAAAATTTGCATCAGAACATTGCAACAAATTTATGGAAATCACATCACACGGTCAACCTACATATATATATAACTTAAATGCTATTGCTCCGCGTACACATTATATAAATATTTGTCATACTAGAATCTAGTTTTAATTAAATAGCGTATATTACATGCGGATTTTCTTCAAAACACAATTCATTATGATTTCTTATTCTGGTTTGAGTTATAGGTCATAACTAGAAGTGGTCAATCATTTTTAGTTTACTATAAATTGAGCCCCCAAATGCCGTGGTACGGCCGAGAGTGGGGAGAGCCCGCTCTCCCTCTCGAAATACTCTCATACGGCCACGCGTATATAGCCTCTGCCAGGGAAGTCCTACTCACTGCCTTCTCGTGGCAGGGGTGTTGCTTACGAAAATGAGAGGACGAAAAGCGAATGTCCGGCGCTTTAACCGGATTCCAAACCAATGGTGCACATGGGCTCCAGTATCCTGCGGGAACAAATGGCGAATGAATCAATTGTTGGTCACCGGCTTCCATGGGACTGCATCTCCTTATGATGCTCCACTGCCTTGTGGATCAGACCTTCAGGTCGAAGGCTCGGGGAGTGGCCCCCTAAGAAAACCACTTGCTTCGGTTTGGGCACCCGGGCAGTATCACAGCCCTCACACACATATCGAATGAGATTTGTGTGGCGCATATGTATTTGGTGCCTCTTTGTACCATTATCTATGTGTTGAAATAAATAAATAAATAATAAATTGAGCACAGTAAATTTATTTGATATAAGACTTTCAATGTCAAGTTCTAATGTGCATTAACAATGATTTTAATAGATTCAAAAAACAATCAATATAATCAAAGAAGTTTGATATAGGATATGTAATTGAAGTTCTTACTATAACTGCAAAAACATCCTTTGAGATGTTCATTGAAAATAAAGGTGAACGTCCAGTTTGTGTTAATATTGGTAGAAATAGATCGGTAAGATTGTTATTCATTTGACTTTGATTTCGCCCATTTGTATTATTTATATCCGTCGAAAGTGATGGTATTAGTTGCCATCCGCCAAAATACATATCTATCAAGTGATGACGACTTTCACGCGTTGTGTTTGAATTTCGACTATTTACGCAAGATTTGTAAAATGCTCGAGCTGATTGTAAGCGCCAATCTTCTTTATAGTATGAATCGTTAGCTTGAAAGCATTGTCAATTATTGACATTAAATTATAGAGAATAAATAAAGAATATTTGATCCAAGCGAACGAAGGAATTATTTTGAGACATAAATACTCGGAGCTGTTTATCCTCTTATAACCATTCTTAAGGTATTTAATATGTTTGGTCTTAGTCAAATGACCGTAATCTTAACGAATTCGTTCAATAAATAATTGTAAATTTGAAACTCAAAAGAGACTATGGAATTCTGATGTTAGGTAAATGGAGGAAGATTACAGTTATTCACCAACATTGGGTGAATCCAACCTTGAAGAACAGATGTACTTCAAGGAATTCGACGTAGAGTCATTTGTACTGGTTACCACATTTCATCTTAGCAGAATTATAAGTCAGCTTTCGTGGCAAAAGCTGGATAGAATTATGTAAAACAGTGTGGCCCAATATTATTCATATCTTAGTCTTACTAAAGACCATACTTCATCCGAATAGATTCAGAGTGATGTCGCTTACTATCTAACGTAGTCCAAAGTTTTCGTATCTCATGTAAATCATCATTTTGAAATATATCCTAAATATACTTCGCTGATAAGTGTCAAATGGAATGTGGCCTGGCTTCTGAACTTTCAGATAAATATACGATTAGACCTAACTCCAAAAGCACACATATCACTTGCTTTTAACTAGAAGTTACATTGTAACTTCTTGAAAACAATTTCATTAACGCTGAGAGTAAGACAACATTTCTACGTGAACAGTTAGTGAAGAAGACAATCTTTGTGATACTGTACTGAAAGTGTTAGACGCTATTTCAGGAAATAATGCAGTATCATTATTTGTTCGTGTATCGCATTCAGTAAAGGGAAATAAATAGGGGGACCTCTTTCAAAACAAAATTTATTTTAAGTGACTGAAACTTTGTTTCAGTTAGTTTACAGATCCTTCGGTTTGGTTGAAGCATGGCTGTCTGCCTACTTGCATGGATTCAGTACAAATTTAAGCTTTGACTCTAAACAATTCGATACTCTTTATATGAAATTTTAATTTTAGGGAAATATTTGTAATATCGAAATCAGTACAAATTATATTATGATAACATTATTTTACTATGACTTACCAATTATCTTCCAGAAGTAGTAATCAACGTTCATTCCCATCTGTTGCATAACGCTTGAACTAGCACTATCACCCGACAAAGGGTTCTGTTTTTCCCACTCTCCACATGCAGTTTCGTAAAAATCAGTACAATGATTCGAGATAAGTGAGTTATTGGCATTATTCTGAATAGTCTCTTCCAATGTGTTTGTTGCTACATAAAAATGTGTAAGCAATAAAACTGACTACTGAAACGAGGATTTGAGGAATACATAAGACAGACAATTTCAGAACGATTAAGTGTAAGTTAGCTGCTTTAAACATTTGACCATTACTGTTGTGGGGAAGAAGACACGAGTTTTTTATTACAATGGGATGTTATTATAAATTAGTGAGACTGATTCATTCAGGAGATAACTTTCACGTTGATCTATTTTTACAGCTTATGGCATCGCTCGTATTTATTTAATCGATTTACTTTCCATCCTCGGATATCTCCGTTAGGAAGGTGGAATTATGCTACGAATGAATCGACCTACAACAAAGTGGATGTATGGACACGGTGATGTTTATTATGACATTGAAGGTATTCAAAGAAAGACAGCTTATGAGGTGATTTAGTACTCCACGATACTTCATTCTAAATGCTTGATGAACAGATGTCAAATCTATATTCGCCCTTCATCTTCCTCTTGATTTTGAACTGAAGCATTCATTCATGCGTACATTTTGATTATCATAATTAATAGATTATTTCGATCGTTTTACTATTCATTTTTGTCAAATAAATATTCTTGCGGTATGGTATTAAGGTGAGACAAATCTGGTTAACACATATTAGAAAATCACTGACGGTTATGGACAAGATAATCGTATTGGCCAGATTAATCCGTTAGTGTTAAGATAATCACAAATCCGTTAGTAGCATGTTCCATGGAAATTCATATATTTTTAAAATATTAGTGGGGAGTGTTAAATTTGTCTAAATTCAATCAACCTAACAATAAAAAGAAACAATATCTAACATAGCAAAGGGTTAGATAGACTAGAGATGAAGAGAGAAATATATCTGTTCTTTCTGCATTCGTCTGCTTAAAAAAGCTTTACAAAAACACAAATCGTAGAGGACCAAGAAAAAAATGTACGTTACATTGGATCGTATAATCAGTATATGAGATATAAATGTGGAGATTCGGTAGCTGACCCGACCCTAATGGTTCTTTTCATTATTCAGTCTACAAAATATTTCGTTTAATCAAAAATTGACTAACCGGTGTCAGGTGTTTCCGTAATCAATGTGGTTTCATTTGTTCCAACGAATTCTGAAATGACACAAAGTAAGACACTGAGAAGCTCTATCATTATAAACCTAAGTAAATGTTGACCATGGAAAATTCCTGATAGCATCAAAATTACATACTATTAAGACAATCAATAAACATTGAATTGCACAAGACGGTTAATGATACTACGATTTCTCAAACTGATCCAATATTCGACCGGAAAAGAGATGATGATGATGATGATGATGATGATGATGATGATGATGATGATGATGATTTTCGTTAGAACTATTTTTGGATTCCGTGATCAGACTGATCAATATAACACTCTATGAACATACTGTGATATCTATTTATTTATTTAATTATTTATTTCCTGCATATTTTATGATGATAAATGTAAGTGCTTCATAACTGGAGATAATCGAATGTATTTGAACACAAAATTACGTGAGATGTTACTAAAAATCTGAAATACACCGTTTGCTATATGTTGATCAATTGTCTGAAACTCGACTGTTTCTTCATTTTCGCAGCAATCATTCACTGTTCTCGTTCTCTTTTCTTCGACCTCCTCAACCTTCTGCTGCCAGAAATTCCACTTAATTTCCATTAAAATGCATCAGTTTAAAACTTGCAAAACTAGCTCATGTTAAGAATTGTTTTATGTATATTTCATGCATTCATTAATTTGAACAGGCAATCAGGGAATGAATCGAAGAGAAGAGAACGAAGCGAAATGACGTGCAGTGGAGAATGTGAGAATGTGAGCCAACTCCATTTAACCAAGCATTAATCAATATTTATAGTCACACAAAATCAAGCTACAGACATGTGATGAATGGGATAAGATGAGCACACACATGTGCGCTCATATAAAAACAGTCAAGATTGATAAGCGAATAACTAACATGGTCAAAACGTGACTCTGATTAACTGTATGATATGAAATTGTTTAGTCCCTTAATTGAACCAGATATTCAAATTACAGTTTCATCATTATGGATATGTTTCCACTAAGTTTTAATTTGAGAAAGGCATGTTATAAATTCCCAATGAAAATTCACTTCACATTCTAATATTCTTGTTCAACATGTTGACATGCTTTATTCAAGAAATCTTCAAATCAATCATATAAGCCTCTATTTTACGTTTACAGTAATTCTGGAAATTGGTAGTGATGTGTGAGCGAGAATGATAGTGACTGGTTGTCTGCTTATTCACACATGCAGATAGTCAGATAGGTGTCAGATAAGTTATATATTCCCATATCCTTATTATTAATAATTATTATTGATTGGTTGTTCATTGTTGTTGGATTGTGTCGGGTTGCAGGTGTGGAAATACAGTTGCGTTCTTGTCAGGCTAATCACGTATTCTCGATCTGAGTTGTGTTGAATTCCTGCAGGATAGATACTGGGAGGAAATCTAGTGTAGATATTCGTCCTAGGTAAATTAACGTCCCATATGTGTAAACTTTAATAACCCAACCGTTATAACATTAGACGAAGTAAAACCGAGCGTTAAAACAGATAGTTAATTGGCTATTTTGCCTAACGACAGTATGATGCATTACGGTGTGTGCAGTATTGTTTTCGAGCATGCAGAAAGTGTAAGTGATTGCGTGAAAAGATGCAAAATGTGAAGAGCGATATATCAAACTATTAACAAAATTTCACTATCCACAGTCATTGTGAACAAAATTAAATTTGATAAGTTTTAATCAAGATGCAGTGTCATATATAATGTATCTTACCGTAACAGCAACTCAGAACGAAAAGGATTGCCACTATATCAAATGAAATTATGTTTGTCAACTTCAAGAAATCCTACCATATTTCGAAATTCTTCCTGCTAGAAAGCCTCCAAACGAAGATGACATCACTTTGTGGATAATGCAAAGGATAAGTATTCAGTACGTATGTTCTTTTCGCATGATCGTCTTCGTGTTTCCATGTATATATATATTTATTTATGAGGTCAAAGATTGTTGGTTTGTGGAAAATGTTTATCGGAAGACTGCGGATATTTGCGCTCATTTTAAAACAAAACTATTTTCTCTGTCACGTTGAGATAACTTTGTTCTAATGAACAACAAAGATGAGATATGAATTTATAATTAACTATTGGAGATTCAACTCTTTAGAAATTAATCATTCCAGACAAAAATGACTTTGTCTGTGTTTTACAACAACAAAATGTTGGTTTTGCGTGATCATTGAAAATTTGGCTGAATGTCTTAACTAATTCTTGTGTTAATTAAATAATTTCTAAAAACTCAGGAGGGTTTTATTACTTCTAATTCTTTAGAGTAATATCGTAACTCGGAACTAAGATCTCGTATTAGTTGAAGGAAATGAGAAGTTCCTAGTTTTGAACACATTACGATAACATGAAAGATACTTACATCAAGTCCGTATGAGATTTATGAAGGTACCTTGAATAAGGTTACAATTACTATAGTTAACAAATGTGTACTGAAATCTAAATTTCTTCTGCGTCTTTTGATAAGAGTAAGATATATTTGTAGAAAAGTGCTATCTATCTTGTCCATTAACGAACTTACATATTCATTTTATTATGATTATCACATTTTGATCTAAACACATACATACATTGATGAGATCATTACTCCGTTCTGTGGGTTAACCATGATGATGTTCTGTATTACTGAGTGTTTTCATTTATGTTCAACTAAGCATAAATCACGAGATCACGTACAAATAATATGTAAATAATTGTACAAAGAAACGTGATTTGACATTGCTCCGAGTTCCAGGCCCCTATTTTCGGCTTTGCAAATATTGATATAAATTGTGTTTTTTATCAATATTTTGACTGACGAACTAAATTGAGCCTGATCATCCTCTAAAATTATTGCCGGTCACAATCCTCAGTTAACTGATAGGTTAGGAACATCACTCAGTAATAACGAACTGAATAATAGAATTGCTAGCCAGCATTCATATAAAAGTGTTATGACGCTTCACGGTGAAAGCAGATATTATTTAGAAGTCTTAAAAATAATGCTCTTTCAGACAACCAGAGCAAAATCTGATTGAAGATTATGGAACATCCTGACAGTGTGAGAGATTGGCAGGGTCATTCAAGTAGCTGACGAAGTGAGCAGATACAACCTGACTGTGCTCAGAATTAGTGTAACCCAATGTAGACAAGCTAAACAGGAAACTATGGCTTCATAAATGCTGTTGCTTTATTCAGGTCACGTATAGGGAAGAGACCTACACACAATGTTTACGCTGATACCGTCCAAAGAACCACATTAGGCACTCATAAGATGGTAGAACAACGGGTTAAGCACCATCAGTCCAACCCTTAGAGGAAGAAGTAATGAACTACAATGAATATCATCTGTACTGGCTTATCTTCGTTACTCGATCACCTCGATATCCGTTATAATCTAAATCTCAACGGTGTTTAAAATCAGAAGGCGATAAGAAGCTGCAACTAGAGTTTATTAGTGGATAATAGCTTAGCTCACAAAGCTATAAACACGTTTAAGCAAATTTAAAGCTTAGAGGTGAATAAGTATGTACGAAAAATCAGATTTACAGTCAAATTGCATTAGGGAACAGCATGGCAAAGCGAACGCCAATAACAGGATCTGAGTACATGCATACATGTGGAGGAGGATTAATCACTAAGTTATATTTAAGCAATCAACATTTTAGCTAGAGTCTGTCATGTGATCTAGTGATCATAACGGTAAAAAATAATGTGTGAATTGTTATTGTTCTAATAACTGTCTGTTAAATAAGTTAATCAAAGGGCTTAACCAAAATTAACCATAATCGAAATTGGTTGTATGATTTTTGCTATACATCCAGTGACACACGCAAATCAATGCTGGAAGTAACGATAATAAGCACCAGTAATAAGAGAGGCTGCAGTCCATCCTTGTGAGGTGTCTGGGTTTGGATTTGATCGTTTCGACGAGGATCAGAACGTTCAAATCGGGATGCACGCCATCAGGTATGAAGACGTGATTGGACAATGCAGACTTATGGAAAAGAATGGAGATAATCAGATGCATTATGGATCTGCATGTTTCGAACAAAATGGTCATAGGCGACAGCATTTTCTCTCGCAAGTGGATATATGAAGCCAGATTGCTTGTATCGAACCGAAATGTGGGAAATCATATCGACCATATCTATCTGAATGAAAGTTATCAACAACGAAGCAAGAGTAGACAATGCCAAGTCCCTGGATGAGTATGTAGAGAGGAGCAAACGAATGAAGAATGTTATTAGAAGCGATAGATAGCATATCTAATGAAGGTACTGATAATGAGGAGATAATAACAATCGTACTAGAGTATTGTTGTATTATTAATAATACAAACAATGAAAGTTTTGTCTTAGTTCTTTTAGGTTGTCATGAAAAGATTTTGTCTGTTCTTACTTCACCATTTTGTAGGTATCAGTATTTCACTAATTAGATGGTTCGTTTAATGGACAAACATATTTCATAATAATATTGTACACTTTTGTTATTCCGTAATATTCCATTGTAATGATGAGATATTTTTTTCATTTATGAATTGTCCTTTAAATTGAAGATGCCACAGGTACTCGGAGTTTGACAACACTTTAACCAGTAACACCTTCTAATATGAATCGTACCCATCAAGTGAAATCAAAAGACAGAAGCGAGGATGTTCGAAGATATATTTGATAAGCTATCAATATATCGAGAATCGTCTGATTTAATCTGGCTAGCAATTGCAAGAGTTGTTGAGCACGGCGTTCCCACTCGTGATCTGGTGCGGATGCATGACCGAGTGTCTTCAGTTAGGTGAGTGCATTAAACTAATGTGGTCAGCATCCAACATCAAAGACTTACAGAGCTATTTAATTTGGGGATTTATTCGCTACTACAGATCACTCCTTCCCAAGTGGGATAGTGATGACCCTAAGACGTGGCGAGCCAGAAGTTTAAACCCAACGAGTTTGTCGTTGGTAAACACTCTTCTAATAGTTTGCTAGGTTTAGGAGAGTCTGTTCGTCCTTCCTTACTATAGGGCACCATGAAGTACAATATAGTAAGAAAATAAAT